ATTCTATGCTGACGTCGCTACCAACTTGCTTTCGTTTTGAGATTTTTTATTAATGTCGTTTTGATTTGCTTTGTTTCCTTACATTTGCTGGCTTTGTCACCCCTCACCCTCGGGGTATTTGTTAAGTGCCTGGCTCTGCATTCGGCAGGGTTCAGGTTTCCTCTAAAAATGGGGTTTTTCCTGACGGGCAGCAGGCACATTATCGGTATCTGTACTTCTGTTAGTCTTAATTTCACATATGTACCTTTCGGTTTTAATAAACTCAAACGGGGTCTCATTGCTCGCAGAATGCTGGGCTAAGCGCTGGTGAATGCAGTTTTCGCTAGTGCTAGTCGCCTCTTGATGTCTTGATTTATTAATAATTTTACCGGCAAATATTTTTCTTATTTAGTCTTCGATGAATTTTTTGCAAGTCGCAATTGATCAGTGTATGTAAATAATGCTACAAAAATGATTAAATTATTATTATTATTTAACCGCGTTGTCATTTAACTAGATATCTTTAATATTTCACAGAGTATTCTATTTTAGACTTTTGGACACCCTCATATTTTGTTACTCTTAGGCAACCTATTGCCCTTGACAGAAACTTTTGAGTGCCAGCTTTTGGCACTAGCATTACTGGGATGGTGGGAGGCGCGGTGGCCTCATGGTTAGTGCGCTCGTCTCTGGATCGAGCGGTCCGGGTTCGAACCCTGGGAGGGGACATTGTGTTGTGTTCTTGGGCAAGACACTTTACTCTCACAGTGCCTCTCTCCACCCAGGTGTATAAATGGGTACCGGCGAACTTAATGCTGGGGGTAACCCTGCGATGGACTAGCATCCCATCCAGGGGGGAGTAGAAATACTCCTAGTCGCTTCATGCTACAGAAACCAGGATAAGCTCTGGCCTAATAGGCCACTTCGCTTGTATGAAGACTTTACCGTTTACCATTACTGGGATGGTTCAGATACAAAATGTGAGCTATGATTGATCAATGGTTTTCAAAGGCAACATCGACCAATTTACCCAATCCATCCCAGAACTCCCAGTGCCGAAAGCTGACCTTTAATCTTCCCAAAGTTTTTGCCAATGGCAATTTCAAAATGATTTGTGAGGTTTTGGTGTTCATGGGACTGGATCAACAACGTGTGATCCCATATAATACCTATTCACCCCACAGAGAAGACTGTGCGATTTCCAATCCGCATGAGGATTAGGGTTAGGTCACACTTTTTCCAAGTGTGACCCTTTTTTCCAAGTGTGACCCACTTTTCTAAGTGTTACCGATTTTTTCAAGTGTTAACTATTTTTCTAAGTGTGACTCATTTTTCCAAACGTGACCCATTTTTCAAAGTTTGACCCATTTTTCCAAGTGTGAACCATTTTACCAAGTGTCATTCTTTTTTCCAAGTGTAACCCGTTTTTCCAAATGTGACACATTTTTCTAAGTGCGACCAACCTTTTCCACACTTTTCAAGTGTGACCCATTTTTCCAACTGACCCTTTTTTATACGTGTGACTCTTTTTTCAAGTGTGCCCCATTTTTCTAATTGTGACCCTTACTTCCAAGTGTGACCCATTTTTCCAAGTTAAGCCATTTTTCAAAAGTATATATTTTTTCCCCAAGTGGGACCCATTTTATTCAAGTGAGACCCATTTATTCAAGTGTAACCCATTTTTCCAAGTGTGACTCTTTTTTCCAAATGTGACCTGTTTTTTCAAGTGTGGCCCAGTTTTTCAAGTGTGATCCATTTTCCTAGTGTGACCCATTTTTTCAAGTTTGATCCTTAATTCAAGTGTGTCCCCCTTTTTCTCAAGTGTGATCCATTTTTCCAAGTGTGACCCCTTTTTCTAAGTGTGACTCATTTTTCCAAATGTGACCAATTTTTCCAAGTGTGACCCATTTTTTCAAGTTTGACCCTTAATTCAAGTGTGTTCCCCTTTTTCTCAAGTGTGACTTTTTTCCAAGTGCGACCTTTTTTTGAAGTGACCCTTATTTTCATGTGTGTCCCATTTTCCTAGTGACCCATTTTTCAAAGTTTGACCCTTATTTCCAAGTGTGTCCTCCTCTTTTTGAAGTGTGATCCATTTTTCCCAGTGTGAGCTATTTTACAAGTGTGACCCTTTGTTCCAAGTGTGACCCCTTTTTTGGAGTATGACCCATTTTTTAAGTGTGACTTATTTTTGCAAGTATCAACCCCTTTTCTCTAATTGTGACCAGTTTTTTTAGGTGTGACCCACTTGTCAAGTGTGACCCATTGTTCCAAGTGTTACCTATTTTTCCAAGTGTGACGTATCTTTTTCAAGTGTGACCCATTTTTAGAAGTGTGACCCTATTTTCTAAGTGTGACCCATTTTTCTGAGTGTGATCCATTTTCACAAGTGTGACCCATTTTTCCAAGTGTGGCCCATTTTTTCAAGTGTGACCCACTTTTCTAAGTGTGAGCCTTTTTCCAAATGTGACCCTTTTTTCAGGTGTGACCCATTTTTCGAAGTGTGACCCACGTTTCGGGCACCAATCGCGCGTGAAGCCTTGAAAAACATGCGTTACAGATTCAATACATGTCGAATCATTTCTTTGAGAAAGCGATCAACAAGAAATTGGAATTTACTTAAAAACAAGAAAGTAGTATGTGAGATCTCTCCCTTCCCGCCAGAATTATACTGTTCCCTGATCAGCAACATTGATGGGAGGGCGACGAGGGGTGCAGTATGGTACGCTACATTTTTTAGGTGAGCTTCAAAACTACTCAAGTGCCCCAACCCTGCAAGGAAGGGGTGAATATCTGCTTGCAAATTAGTGGTTGTCACGTGCGCCGATTTCCAGCTTACGAGATAAGAGACAGTGATTACAATGTATAACAATCACGAATACATGCAGAGACAAGAGAGGATAAAGTGAGAGCTAATCCCCTTGATAGGCCTTATTCTCAAGGTTATCACAATTAATTTATATTTAGACAGTGCCCAGTTCACCCGCAAATGCCACCACGAGCGTTTTGGTGATGTTTCGGTGAAGACAAGCCGTTAGGGCTGTCCACGTGAGCAAATTTGGCGTCACAGGATTGGCTATCTCTAGACTCTCCTGGGATTCTGAAGCCAGGAGTTTTCTAAAGTTCACCTCACAGGGATTACCTTAAGAAATAAGGCCTATATGGGGCATCCAAGACAGGGACACATTTAACCTTATCTTATTACGGGGCCACGCTCGTTTGAGAGCCCCGAGTCCTCTTCCGGATAACCTGGCGTCTATGAAACCACTGACGACAAATCCACACAAGAACACTTCATAAGCTACCAATTTATTTCAATTTCTTTTTTTTTTTAACCATGACAAACCAAATAGGAAACTGACACATACTTTGTACCATAACTCGTCATGACTCCGTGACAAGGAAAAAAAATGCTTACGAAATGACTACAAAATTACACATTTCCAACAATATGTTAGCTCTATTAGAAATCTGTATAAAATTATCCCATTTAATGACACCCTTCTCCACGCACATTCGTGGAAAGTTACTCACTATTACTACAACCAAGGCTGAAAGATAAAGATTTTCTCAGGAACCCTTCATGCCACAACGTCAACCTATAAATTCTCCTCAGTGAACCTCTTGAAGGTGGTACTGTTCCATTTGGGAGAATTTGAATATAAATTAAGGAGTCCTGCAGATCGGTCTAATGTATTCTCTGTATTGTCATTACACGCAGGACTTCGAACACATCGTTTATGGAGAATTCAGGTGTTGATAATTGATGGGCTAGGGGGATACTATGGCAAACAAAACGTACAATTTAGGATTTGAAAATCATCCCATTTTTAGATTAACCGAGGACGAAACCACGCATATAAAATTAACCTGCCGAGTGCGAGCAGAATTTCACAACCTTAACAAATTATTCTAGCTTTATAGTTCTAGATTTTCAGGTGACCATTATAAACGTAATAACAGCTTAAATTAAAAAAAAGCTTTTAATTTAGTTACTACGACTTCTATATACGACCGCTATATCACCAAGATTTTAACAGAAACAAGGTTTAGAGCGGAAAAAATGGAAAAGACCACATCAAGGCTTCATAGTAACTTAGTGAATATCTTTCAAATCAGAAACCTCGTGTTAATAAATATTAAAAATTGACTAATTAATTTTTTTCTAAGCCTCAATCCGAATGAAACCGTCCGTGGAAATTTCCCTTTTCAACCTATCCTAGTAATCTGTGTTTCTTCTTTACTTGGGTCTTCTGTTATCTCGCGGACAAGACCTAGTCTAGGCAAAAAAAAACTAAGTACAGATTGTAGTTGTCTTTTCAGAATTATATTGATACATTAATAAAACTATTTATCCTTGTAAACAGAGCTCGCTCAAAGCAGACCAAGAAAAACGTTGTGGCGGAGCTCGGCTTCAAAATAAAACTTAATATTGTTATCCAACTTTCCGCGTTATAAAGAAACGTTCTGTCCCATAATTTCAAATGGAAGCTGTGAATCTCTCTCTGAAAAAATTCAGCAATTCATAAGCAGACCTTGCACGAGTGTAAACGTTATATTTCCATACAATTTCTCTGTACACGATTTGTTAGCCTTCGTAGAGGTAAAAACAATTTTGATCGCGTTCACAAATATTACTTTACAAGGTTGTAAGATTTCATCAGTCACCGTCAATAGCTCAATCGAAATTACTGTGAATGGCCGAATCTTAGCCAATCAAGAAACGTGGTATCCCTGTTCAAATCTTAAGAGCATTTTGTTCTCGTACTTCAAAAATAGTTAGTCTTTCCAGAGATTGACACAATTCAATTCGTAAGTCTTTGAACACGCTACAAAACCTACACTATATCAAAAAACTTCAGGAGGTGCCCGCAACTCAAATTTATAAAAACAAACGCAACAAAAATTGTCTTTTTTCTACCTAATCTAGTTTCTCCGCAGCTGTTGTTTGCATCCTAACATAACGCTTCTCAACCGCTGCTTAAACCTGAACTGCATTCCATACCGGTTAGCCAANGGGGGGGGGGGGGGGGGGGGGGGGGAGGGGGGTAACGATGGGCCTCCTCTTGCACACCCCCACCCTTCTCCCCCAAAACACCAAGGGTGAGGACTGGTAAGAGTAGATCATTTCTTGCTCTAGTAGGGGAGCGGGGTAGCCCTGTTTTTGCAGTGTGCCGGCGTTAACAACCCACAGTACAACGTCAACACAGAACAGGGTTTTCTTAAAGAGTCCACCAAACTTTCCTGGTAAATCAGGCATTCTAATTCAACGACTGAAGCGTTCTGGAAGCTTTTCTACAGATCACCACTTTCTGTAAATCAAGACCTTTTTGGCTGACCGGTGTCAAAGTTATCAAAAACAGGCAAGGAATACAGTTCAAGGCCAGGCAAACCGACACTGTCAAGAAAGAGAGAAGCGTTATATCAACTGCAAAGAAGACTATACCGTAACTGGATTCTATACGAACTACCCTAATAAAGCGTCGTAAATAAAGCATCGTTGCCTCATCGTCGGCTTTTTCCGATCATCTTCCGTAATGCTTAGCTTAGGCTTAAAATGCTCCAGTCAATCTTCGTGGAATGTAAAGTGTTCAACCTTTCCTCTCCCATCTTTACCTTGTCCCGAATCTCAGCATGCATCAAGGCGAGTTGGGTTTTCATGTCTATGTAGTACTGAAAGTCCGCAAATTCTTCTTCTTCAAGACAATTTTCCAAAATCTTGGACACCACCTCTCCCCGCTTATCGTTCACTTCCTTGATTTTACACGCTTCTTCGTGTTGCATGGCGACCTTCTCGATTTTCTCTTGTAAAATATCCTGCGATAAAAATTACCCCACAATTGTGATATTCGCTAGACAGGCTGACAGACAGACAGACAGACAGACAGACAGACAGACAGACAGGCACGCAGACAGGCAAGCTAGCAAGCAGACAGGCAGGCACGCAGACAGGCCGACAGACAAACTGACAGACAGACAGACAGACAGACAGACAGACAGACAGACAGACAGGAAAAAGAAGATCCCTCGACTTCGAAAAGAACAGCTTTTTGAAAATACAATGGAATCCCGATTCTCGACCCCCTGGTTTTTTGAACCTCCCGATAACTCGAACCAAGAGTTGTTTCCCTTACTTCAGTTGAACACAGTAACTTTACTCCCGATTTCTCAAACTAGCCGATTTTTCAAACCAATTTTCGTTTCCCCAGGAGGTTAGAAAAATTGGGATTCCACTGTTCAAAGGAGCTATGTCACGTTTTGCGCATCTTGTGAAGTTTAGCCTAAATTTTTCAAGTTCGTCGTTTGTAAACCGTGTCAATGTACTCATCCTCAACCAACCTTGCTCCTTTATGGTTTAATATTATCTCTTTGGTGTTTTTCTGTCTTGGTAAACTACTTTTGTGAGGTTTCCTAATTTCCTAATTTAAAGGTAATTTTGTAAATGCCCAAAAGAACTTAAAAGGCCGTCGCTGAGTTCCTTTAAGAATAATACGAGGAAACTTTCAACTGATATGCTCACTCACCCTTTGTTGCCGGTCAGCTTCTTCAGACATGTCTAAATCATTTAGCATCATCTCGTATCTATGCATTCTCTGTGTAAGTATCAATAACAGTCCAATAATCTTGTTCAATTCGCCCGTGAAACGCTGATATTTAGAAAACTCCGTCTCGCTTGCCTTCTGTTCCACTACCCTCGTGACTTTCCGACCAAGTTCCTCGTTTCCATCAATTTCCTCTTTTATTTCATCCATCTGGGATCTTAGATCGATTATCTTTTGCTTCATGCTTTCCACGAGATCAGCCTAAACAAGAAAAATAAACCAAAAAATAATAATAATAATAATGAATAACAAACATTACACGATAAAGTGAGAGATCAACTTTCCGAAAACCTTCTTTTGCGAGTCACAGAAGCAAAAAATTCAGTGCAACTTCTATTAAGCGGACACCCTTGGGACCTTCCCAAGTGTCCCAAGTGTCCGGAGGCTATTGTTCATCTACTATTCAAACAAGCCACTGATAGTAACAGTTGCTCAAAATTCACCCCCGAGCCTCGCTCACGCGAAATTCTTCTCAAACCTCTAGCACACCCTTGGGTATTATTTTCATGACAAAATTTACAAATTTGCAATTGTAAATCTAGTCCTGATGGTGTGGGGCAATAATATAAGCTAGTGTGACAAAAACAAACATACAGGCTATTAACGGTTTTTGAAATTCCTCGTGGGCCAATCAAACATTCAAGACGGCGAAAAAGACCTTAATTCAACCCTTAATTCAACCCTTCAGCGCCTTTTTCTACGTGAAGTACAACATTTCACCTTTTCTTTATCCAATGCTTCCAGTTTTGGACTGAACATGCTATTCGGGCGACTGTTTGAAGGGGTGGATGTGTTGGAACCACCGCTGTAGGGACTGTTGGAGACATCCAAATAAGAGCCCTTCTGATCGGGTTCATCTTTGGTAGGGGTTGACGTCAGTACGAGCGGGGGAGGTGGCGGGGCCCTCTGGGAACTCATTTTCTTGCTCTCTGCAGGGGAGGTATCTTTTGACGACAGATCCGTACTCGACGATGTTTCAAACGGTTGGTCTGACACGACACTCGTGTCGATCTTCCCGGGTCCATTTAACTCAATTTTGGGTTCTTCGCCAATTACCACGCTGGATTCAACCAAGGCGTTTTCCTCAGGCTTTATAATATCGTTACAGTCCTTGCCGTTTTGCAGATAGGTCTCCTTTTCGACAGGGTCATTCCGCCTCGAGTCGTAGTCATTATAGGGAGGAGGAAATTCAACAAGGACTTCCCGAGGAGGAGAGGGTAAAGGCAAGCTGTCTTGTGACGTTTCTAGGGGGTCGAGAAGATGCAACGGGGGTGGGGGCGGGAAGGAATCGTCTGCATCCCAAAACACTTCATTTTCGTCGTTATTCAGAGGAGGTCCAGGCTCTTCTTCAGCCGGTTTTCTACTCAAGTCAGGTTCCAGAGTTTCTGAGATTAATAAATGTTTATCACTCACCGGGGCAGTTCTTTCCATTGCCGAATTGACCTTGTTTTCCTCGCGAGCGGACGACGCAAATTTCATGAAAGGCTGCTCCTCTAAAGACTGTTGTCTTTCTAGCCGCGCTGGAGAGGAAGGTTCAAAATCAGACCTAGGTTCTCCCGTCCCGGGGTTGCTTTTAACGTCAAAAGTACGTGACGGTCTCTTGTAGTTTTCCTCGGATCGGCCACGGTCCGAATTGTCGTTTGTTTCCCAGTGTTTCGTCGTTGGTCTTGTATCGTTTCTGATCGGCGGTGATATTGGCTGCTCTGTTGATGAAGAAGTCGCGCTGAATCTCGTGGGTGGACGTGTTTCTAGAAGCGAATCCATGGACGACGACCTGTACAGAGGAGAACAAAATCCTGCATTTAGTTCAAGTTTTCATAAAAATTTAGGAACTAGCGTCTGGGAACTAAGCAGCTCTGTAATAAGCAGAAAGTACATGCCACTAAACAGGCAAAACACACCGCAAAATACCTTGCATATTTACACCAAATTAGGCACACATGATCTGGTAAACAAAAACAAACGCGTTTCCGTGGGGTTTGGGAGTAAAGAAAGACCGAGGAACGGGATTTTCGGTGTTTTTTTTCTTTTCATTTTTCGCGCCGTAATTCTTTGCTCCCGAACCCCACAGAAACGCTTGCTACGCAGGCTAGTAAACAAATATCGAAGCAGTGTGCCGAATGCTACAAATCAGCGAAAAAGACAGCTCAGGTCATGTTACACGAGTCTGCTAGGCTCAGCAAATGTTCTTAAAATCAATTTAAATCCTTCAATAATGCTGTCAATTGCTCGGAAAACAAACGAAATTTTAGGAACTCGTTCGAGGTGTAGGTTTGCACAAATATCCCCTATCACACTAAGATGATATAAGCTTTCACCAAATCAACAATACACAAGTTTGAAAGGCTATGAATGTTTATGTAGAGCGCAGTTAGCCATTACCTCTCGTTATCGTGCTATTAAGGTTTCATGTTAGGGCCGGGATCACCGCCTTCTTTTCGACTCGTTCATTAAGTGATACGAGACGAAAACATGGCCAGTATCGACTTTGCTCGCTGTTTTCAAGCGAAGACAAAACAAACTTGAACACCCCCAATATTAACCAATACTGAATTTGTTTTCCTGGCAACAATGACAGTTTCGAGGAAAAATGAACACTCACAATACTGCGGCTATATTTGGGGCGCTTTACACCACATACGGAAGTTAACGGCTTACAGGATCATTAAATAAGTTACTACAAAATCAAAACTGGAAATACCGTTATGTCACTTTTTGTCCAAGTAGTAACAACGAATTAACAGTATATCAATTCCAAAGCGTCACCAATTAAGTTTTCTTTCAAGACCGTGCTGACTGTTTATCAAGGAAAAATTTATTTTTCAGTCAACGCATTTTTTGACTCATTCCCGAGGTGGTTTTTTGTTGTTGTTGTCCCTTTCCCCTACATGTAGTGCATGCAAGGAGAATACATTGCGCATCCAACGAAGAGAACATTTGTGTCCTAACACTGGATCTTCGTGTCAACAACTCTCCGTGAAGGTTACCTAAGATTATTCCCATGGTTGAGAAGTCTGCCACGCGCGGAGGCATTCGCCGCATTGCCAAATATCCGGAATTTGAGATAATTTGATAACCGCAAAAACTTTCATCAATTAACAGGAAACGGGCCGATATTCAATGGTTCCTTGGTATGCTCTCCCTCGGAGTAATTTACTTCAGATATTTACAAAGAACAAAAAAAAACAAAACAAAACAAAAACAATAGAACGCTCTTCCTTTAGTATACAGTCGACAATCACAATCTCAAACTGTTAGAAAGGAAACAAGAAAATGAATAATAGTTCGAGACGTCGGCGATTCGAGATAGCTGATAGTAAGTGGCGGAAAAAGTGTATTGGGGGAAAATTATTTGAGTTCGAGATGGCGGGGAGTTCGAGAAAACGGAATTCTACCGTTAGTATCACTATGATCAATAGTGTAAATAAAAATTTAAACGGAATTCAAGAAAATGCGAACTAACGAAACTTAAATTGATTTGCTGCTAACTGAAAAACAAAAAATCGTTTTGATATTGAGTTGCGATTTTTTAATAGACGCACGATACATGTGTAATTTTAAGGTGTGGAAATCAAATACGAATCTAGATATTTACAATCTAGAGCCCCGGGAAAAACAAGAACAATTTAGCCACGTTAAATATAAGTTATGTTAGTTAAAATAGATGGTGTGAGAATAGCCTGCGAACAGGCTCCCGTTGAGGACGGAAAAAAATTTCGGCGATCGCGAAACAGAAGAATTCGGAGAGCAAAGCGATAAGGGCAGCACACCGGGAGCCTGTTCGCAGGCTAGTGTGAGAACGCGTATCAATTTCTCTTCCACTGCTGAGATTAGACAAGGGAAAGGGGTAGGGAGCCCCCTCCTTCTATCCCTGCTCTCACTCTCCCCCACCACTCCCCCGTTATACGCCTGCAACGCAGGCTATGTCTCAAAGCAAAACAAATATGACGGGAGAATTCGTATTTCGTTGTCGGGAACAAGCTACGCACGGTGCAGACGTTCCTATAGCGTGACACGCTAAATCGGAGAAAAGACTGCGTTACGAAAAATTGCGTCACAAGCCCCTAACCACCCTAACAAATCGAAAACCGCCAATGTAGGACGGTGCCATAGCTTTAGACTGATAGTAAGATTAATAAAAGTGAAGGGAAATTGAAAATAACACTTACTGGCTGATGCGCGATTCTTTCAGTGGCCGCTGCGGGATGTCGATTCTTCCTTGACTGAAAGAACGCTGTTGTTGGAAGCGAGGCCTCTCCTGTGAAGGTGTCCCGTCACCTGTTTGCTTCATTCCTCCTTCAAAGTTGGCGATCCTAGCTTTGACGCTGGGCGACGTTTCCACATTGGTGACTTTGTCATTCATGAGTCGTATTAAAATCTGCGTGTCTTCAATCCGGCCCTTTTCCGCTTCGCGTTCGTTCTGCGGCGGCCATCGTCCAACGTCACCAGGCGATTTAATTGGCGCGGTCACGTCGCTGAGCATTTTCCTTGGCGGAAGTGTGCTTGAGCGGTTGTTGGGCCGGACTTGCTCAGCTTCCGCTGCCATCTGTCCCGAACGGTACACCGTCGGAGCGGTGCTCTTCTCTTCAAAAGACGAGGAAGATGAGGAACGCATGTTTCTTATCACGACTGAGGAGCTATACCGCAGGCTGGAGGACTTGGAAAGTTTTCTGTCAGGAGTGACATCACTGGACGTCGAGGAATGCGCCCCTAGTACGCTGTAACCCGCGGGCTCAGCATGCCAAGACTGCCTTGTGACCTCACTTCCGGCTGGCTTGCTCTCCGCTACATGGTCTGTCGGCCACGATCTAGACACGCTATGTTTTGGTTGATCAGGCGCAATTTCAGGTATTCTCGCAACTGCGCCAAATCTTGGTGGAATGTGCACTTCTTCCTGGGGTCGCCGTCGATCGCGAGTCCGAAACGAGCTGAGGAGCTTGGATACGCTCCGCCTGGGCGGGGGAGCAGGACCCTGTCTACGTGCACCACCCACAGAGGAATCCATTGTTCCCACAGAATCAAGGCTAGAAGTGCTCTCACTTGAAGTCATTTTTGGTCCAATGATGTCCCTTGGCAGGCGTACTTCCACTGTATCACCAGGTGTTGCGTACGTGAGTGAGTTCCAAGGCGTTTCTGATTGGCGTGGAGACGTGTCATTGGGTTGTGTGTCACGCAATTGCTTTTCCTGCATCAAATTCGAGGAACTATAGCGTTGGGGTCCTCTTGCGTGATTCACTGTGTTACCAGATTCGTTCCATTTGACCCCCATTGCCGTGACTGTCACGCCGTAAGAGGTGGGACCGCCGAAACTTTTGCTTCGAGGAAGAGATTGACTGAAAGAGAACAAAGTTATACAGATAAGTATAAACAAACACTAATGAAGAAGGCATACATGTATACCTTCGACACACGGTGACTAATTGGGATTGTTACAATTGATCAACACTCAGCTCTGAGGGACACACGACGACTTCGCGCACGTGCAGCATGAGCTCGTCACGCAAAGGGAAAACAGCGTCTGCGTGACAGGCAAATGTAAGCGTCACAATCCAGTTGTAGCGTTTGGAATTTTCTACATATCCCCTGGCCATTTAAATGGAACGCAATTCCTTTTTTCCATGTATGCCATAGCCCTTGGTTGCGTGAAACCCAGAAAAAGAAAATTTGAGCTACTAAGACTAAACTTAAGACTTGAATAACAGCCCCCTTTCCTTACCTCTTGTTGACATCTGATCTCTCCTGCAGGCTTATCTTTCTATCTGACATGTCTCTGTAATCCAGACTCCCAGTCTGAGCCACATGTTGTGGAGCATCCATCAGCCACCGGCCAACCCAGTCATCAGGGTTCTTTGAATTTCCACTGCTTCTTCCTGTCTGTTGACTTGATTTTGCCAAGAGACATAATTAATGAATAAGCCAAACACAATCAGTTCAATCCACACAAATGAAGAGAATGCAGAAAATGATTTATTTCATTTACTGTCAAAAGATTTTGTCTTGATGAACTGCAAAATTCTCAAAACGGATATTCCAACTATTGTATGACACACAGGGAGTATCATCTTTACAGGCTGGGACTAAAAGGCTATAGGAAATGAGTAAGGATGGAACTGTGCTCTCGTATGCTGAAAGGGTCTACTGTGTGCCTCCCACATAAGCCTCACACAAGGTTTCATGTACATGATGGCCTTGGGAACTTACAAATTCATTACTTCTAACCATGGAAGCATCAGTGACAAAAATGTTACTTACTTGTCAGCCTCTCTGCCTGTAGGAGACACAGCAATGTTGGTGCTCTTCACCATCACCTTCTGTATGCGACCAGGGCTGGTCAGCGTACGTTGATGCATCACTGGCCAGTGACCTTCTGGGAGGCTGACACCACTAACAAGAGAACAAAATGGTAAGTGTCCCATCAGACATGTCCCTTATCAGAGAAAACAAACAAGAATCATATCAGACAACAGACATCAGTTCCTTCTTAGAGAGAAGGCATAAGTCCCTTGTCACAGGACACACACAAGGCCCTTACCACAGGAAAGACAGTCACACAAGCCCCCTTACCATAGAACACATACAATTCCCTTTTCAGAGAACACACAGAAGGCCCTTACCACTGAACACACCCAAATACCTCACTACATAACAGACAAAACTCGGCCCCTTATCACACACAAGCTCCTCATCACAGAACACACACAAACCCCCCACAACAGAACAGAAACAAGTCTTTTATCACAGAACAGATGCAAGCCTTTTCATTACACAGTACACAACACACATACAAGTCCCTTGTCATACACAAGTTCCTTATTGCAGAAGAGACACAAGTCCCCTGTTATAGCGGAACACACACAAGCCCCTTATCACAGAACAGACACAAGTCCCCAGTTATCATTGAACACAGGACTCCACATAAAGTATGACTTCCCTTATCACAAACAAACACAACTAAGTCCATCATCACAAACAAGACTCGAGTGCCTTGAAAGAGAATGAACAAGTGCTAACCCCTTAACAAAACAGACACAAGTTTCAAAATTACAGTCATTCCAAAATGGACCTGCTGCTCAGGTGCCGTTGGCACATTAGAAGAAATCTGGTTGCACCCTTGATGACATTCCCAAGTCCTGTTACACTAAAACTACCATGATTACTATATATAGTATTAAATCATTTTAATTAACACTCAGCTCACATGGTACTAATTAAAGTTCAAGGTTAAATTCTTTGGAAGGTCAACTTATTTTTAATGAACGTTTACTAGTTTTAAAACATATCATTTTAGTCTTTAGATTTAATACTTGTTGAATTACCGCCTTAAACTCCAGGTTCTGCCATAGATTTCTGTTCCTGGTCGGTTGAATTGTGCTGCTCCAAGAAGGCCTGTGCTACTGTGGAATCTTTTAGCAGTTACATTATTCAATGAGTTGATACGTCTGGGAGGAAACGATTTAATTTAATTGAATTTACAGTTTAACAATCAAAGATAGATATTTCTGTCATCATTGTCACAAATTACCAAAAAATCTTTTTTCACTTTTAACACAAACTTTTTAAACACATGCATGCAATTAAAGGAAATAACTAATTAAGTACCTGTAACTTATATTCTCATGTTTGTTACATATTTGAATTTACGTATTGTTATTTAGTATTATTAGTGTTACCCAGGTAAGTATTGACAGAATTTACGAATTAATCTTTCTGTGACACAGGTTAAATTAGCTTTGAGTTACTAATTAAAAAGTCAATGTAAATAATCATTTTTAACAGTGAAATAGTTAATAATAAGTAGATTCTTTTAATTTTTTTTCTTTCAATTGTCACAAGTTAAATGTTTGTCACAATCCACATTTCTAATTAAAACAGTCTGAAATATTAGGGTTAAGTGCTAACTGTTCTATACTTGTAAGTAAGTCAAGTTTTGACACCCTTCATCCTTTCAGAATCAGTTGTTGATGAATGCAATGTATTCAGGTTAAGCAGTGTCTATTTCACGTGACACTGTCAAGCAAGCAATAAACACAGAGATTTGTTTCTGTTCAGACTCTTGAATAATCACTTTATGTCAAGAATCATAAGGTGTCCTAAGTAAGGTCATCATCACAAACAAACAAATCCTGTATTATTCAATCCTTGCAATTCTTTGACATTATTGACCACATTCTGTTGAGTAAAAACTCAAATGGCTTAATGCAGTGTGCACAACGGAAGTCCTGACTGATAGCCCAGGGCTGTTGGAATGTGTCTGACACTTGCGTGCGTCTGCTCTTCTTAGGAAAAATCTTTCAGAAAATTCAAATTACAGTTCAGGTACTGTAAGATATGAACTTCTGGGGGGCTAGTGAGAATGATTTTCTGGCTAGTACATCAGAGTTACAGCTTGCCCAAAGGGCAAGCACAAAAATTTCTTTTCTAGGCATGGTTACTATATGTACAACAACCACAGAAAATTGTGTACACTGTAAAGTGACAATGAAAAACAGTGTAGAGATTTTTACAATTGTTTTTTTTGGCTGTTTATACTGTAAACACAGCACTTTGAAAGAGGGGGATCTTTATCCAACTCTAAATTACTGTTCTGTATGTACATGTAAGCACTACAGGGGAACTATCCATTTCTTACATCCCAGATTCTTGTCCCTTCATGTGCCCTTATGCAACATTATTCATTGCATGAACAAAGCCCTCTCCTACCTTAGACCATCTACTTCTGCAGGACTTGTTCTGCCATTTGCTATCTCTGTTGATGACCTTGACAATCTTTCACTGGTTTCCTCCATGATGGATGAATTAGAAATATTTGGTTGCGATTCTGCTTGACGATAGCTCTCTAACAAATTTTCATGCGAAGCGCTAAGGTTGTCAGTGGAATCGGAAATATTAGAAGGCTTCTTGTTTTGAGTTATCTCAGCAAATTTCTGTTTATCTACGTTGAACGTGGAATAGAAATCTGATGAAGAGAAAAGTTCAGAAGCTGTCTCGTAGAGATTTGGCACTT